CCCCCCCCTACACGTGAAGTTTTCACGTGATTCATGATTCTCGAGGCTGCGAGCCCTTCACTTGCTAAAGCAAGAGCAACTCCAGCTAGCTGATGCTAGCTTTCGTGACAAGACCAACAAATTGCAGGAAAGAACTCAAACCTGAGCAAAAAATGGCCTGAAGGAAACTGTTCCGAAATCAAAGGAAAACAATCTGCAAACACATCCATTCGCATGTTGAAAATCATCCAAGGCCTTCCACAAAGATCTCCTTGTCATCCTGCTTGTCTTCCGCCAACTGCGTGAGGAGCGAATTAGGATGCAGGCTCAGCGTAGGCTCCCACAGCACCTGGTAGATCTTGCCACTGACGTTGAACGTCACAAGATCTGGCTTGCTTGCCATGGGTCCGACAGGCTGTTGCTTACAAGTTGGCAATCAAGGACTTATGCTCAGGTTGCCACTGTAGCCAAGCTAGCTGCGGATCTCGAACATCAAGCCAAACCAATCCAGCACGTCAAATGCTCGTCAGGGTCTTGACAAACAAACAAAGACTCACACATTGCATAATATTATCATATATACATAATGTACACCAAGAAATTCTGCACAATCCACTGCTGTTTGGGACCAGCTTTTGTGAGCGTCTTGGTCACATGTCACGACCCACCATCCACCTTTGTCCTGTAGGAGAGGGTGTTCACGGGTGTTCAATCACCACTTCCACTAGCCTCGGGCTGCTGGCCAGCATGTGGTTGGGGCTATAGCTGTTGGTTCTCAGGATGCCTTTAAGAGTTCAATTGCACGCCTCTAAGTGACTTGCATGCATAAGCTGCGGAAGAGATGGTTGGATGCTTCGAGACTTTTTAAGGTATGCTATTCACAAAACATGGGGAATTGCACATCTTTGTACAATGCACATGATTGCACAGAAGCAGTACCCCGCTGCACGCCTCCAAAGAAGAGAAGCATCTGACATGATGAAAATGTACGTCTTGAAAAGGTGGTGGGAGAGCTCCATCAAAGTTTTTCCAGTGTTCGGCCGTTTCGACTGGCGAGTCGGGAGGTGGAATTTGTCGAGGCCCTTCGTGGTTTCAAGCTAGCTCAAGCTTGAGACGAGCGGGGGGGGTGGACGAAAGGTCATGAGTTGGACGAAAGGTCCTGAGATAAAGCTAATCCAACTCAAGGCTACTGAAGCAACCCTTTGTGACATCTTAGTCAGTCACCGTTCTCCTCTACCACAAGGGTCATTCCTCCACCTGGTGCCCACTTCTTTTTGACCAAGAGCTGGTCGCACAATACCAAGAACCAACAGGTGTTCGATGTTTTTGTGTTTTCCGAAAGACGGACACAAACATTTATGGGCACCTCGTAGCTCTAAGCAGACAGACCCAAACGTGGCCATGACTTGAAGGTAGCAAATCATACACTAGTAACCACAGCACCACCGGTTCATATCGTCGGGCGCCGACACACTTGGTCCTAAGCCTTGAGATGAGTCCGTCCCGCTTTTCTGCGCGGAACATGATGCGGTCCATACGATCGCCTGCATGAGGCACTTAGGCCACCGGTGTCAGGCTAACCATCGGAGAGTCTTTATTACGGAGCGGGTTCGTGCCATGGGGCCAAAACGTCGCCTGGTATCCAATGGATGCCGCCCACGCTGCCATGGACTCTTTGAAATGCATCTGCTCGAAGCCTTTGAAACAGGAGAACGCAAAGCTTCGTTGCTCTGAACTTGTTGAGCCGAATTTGTTCTGGACCACCTCGTCGAATGAAATACTGATCTGCTCGCCATTTCCCTTTGCTGATTTCTCCATCAAAGCCTGTGCTGTTATGCTCATCAAATGTGCAGCTGCATTTTGGTTCTGTTGCTTCTGCAGTAAGTTCTTTTGATTCGCGACCAGTTGATCAATCTGCTTCAGCATGCTTGGATAGTAGGCCCCATCACGCACCATCCTTTGCTGCAACTCTGCAGTGGACTCGAGCACTGAACTCAAAAGAAAAGGGCGAAAAACTCCAAACCATAACTCTTATCTCTGTGAGACTGAGATGATTCGTTTGCAAATGCACTTACAGTAGCAGTAGGGGAACCAGCTACTCAAACCCTACTAGCATGGGCAAATCCACAGCCCTAGTCGCAGCCAAAGCCCATATCTCCATCAGAATAGCTTGAAACAGCCAGGCGGGTATGATCCACCCTCACAATCCGCACCAACAGATTCTATCATATATATATAGAGGCCATTGTACAGTGCCCGAGCAACCACCACAACACCATAGACAAATGCTCTGACAAAAAACAGTCTGAGGCACTCTTCGGTCTTTGCATCCAACCCAAAGCGCTTCAGCTCTTGCTGCACTGCTGCCGCCGAGATATTTGGAGGCAGAATGATCTTCCGATCTCTGTGATATGCGAGCACGTAATTGAAAAGGTCTTGATCACCTCTGTCACAGGCTTGCTTCCTTTTGATGAACCAGGACGTTGACGTGGAACAATTGGCCTATGGGTTTATATATTTTTATATATTGTAGGTTATTTCACTTCAACTTGTGTCTATCACAAAGTCACGAAGATTCCGAAAGAAAACTCACTTCAAGAGGTCTCTTTGTGTCAACAGCATTGTCGCTTAATTTTGCATGTAAACTTCGCTCCTGAATCTCTCTCAAAGCTCCTATCCCAAGCTGCCAAGGTATCTCACCCCACTAGTCACTAGTCTGGAAAGCTGGTGGTGGGAATCGCTCTCCAAACCAAGCGCAAACTATTCAAAACATACGCATGATTATGCAGTGCACCCCCCTTGCTCACATCAGGGCCTTCCACAAAGATCTCCTTGTCATCCTGCTTGTCTTCCGCCAACTGCGTGAGGAGCGAGTTGGGATGCAAGCTCAGGGTAGGCTCCCGCAGCACCTGGTAGATCTTGCCGCCGACGTTGAAGGTCACGAGATCCGATCCACTCGCCATGGGCCCCACAACTTGTGGTTTATAAGTTGGCAATCAGAAACTTCTGCTCAGGTTGCCACTCTAGCCACACTAGCCGCGGAGATTGATCAAATCTCAATTGAGACTGTATATAGCTGCCGGTTGGCTGGTCTTCAGGATGTTTCCAGATTTGGGGGGCGCAAGCTATTGACAAAATATGGGAGGTTGCGGATTTAGGATGGTACAGAAACCTACTGGACGCGTGTCAAGAAGCATGAATTCCTCACCCAAAAAGTGAATGACGAGTTCATATCCAAGTAACCTCTTTATGGATGTGTATCTTCAAACAGTTTGTGGGAAAATAATTGCCAATGAAACCGTGTTCCATCTGTCCAGTTTCGACTGGCTCGTCAGCCCTGGTAGCGTCCAATCGCCTAAGGAAGATCCATCACCGTCACCGGCTACCAGCCGACCAGGCACCCTTTTGCTCTGTGACAGGCGGTGAAGTGGCCAGAGTGATGAACTGCACGATGACCTAGGCCACCGGTGTCAGGGTAGCCAACCGAGCACCGGCATCGCCCAGCAGGTTCTTGCCATGTTGCCAAAACGTCACCTGATATCCAATGGATGTCGCCCAAGCTGTCATCAACTCTTGGAAATGCATCTGGTCGAAGGATCGGAAAAGACGTTGCGCAGTGGAGAGTTGATCTAGATTCTTGGCGTTGTATCCGTTTCGGAGGAGCTCATCGAATGAAATACTGATTGGTCCGCCATTCCCCTGTACTATCTTCTCCATCAAAGCCTGTGCGGTGATGTTCATCAAAAATGTGCAGCTGCCACTTGCTTCTGTTGATCCTGAAGCAACTTCTTTTGATTTGCAACCACTTTGTCAATCTGCTTCAGCATGCTTGGAAAATAGGCCTCATCCGGCACTATCCTTTGCTGCAACTCTGCAGTGGACCGAAGCATTGGACTTAAAACAAACCGCCCATCCTATCTCACGAATTGTGATAAATATGATAAATACTCAAGTCGCCCCACAACATCCGATTCCGAGTTTGATACTTTACCCGTGCAGCCCCATTGTTTGTATAATTTTGTATACATGCAAATGGGAGGAACCAGCTACTCAAACCTACTAGTATGAGCTAATCCCTGGTCGGAGCTGCGAGTCTAAAGCCCTTACTCCCGCAGTGCACACCAGAGCAACTTGAAACAGCCAGGCGGATATGATACACCCTCAAAGACCGCATCAAGAGGTGCCTAAATTCACCACAACACCATAGATTAATGCTGCGACAAAACAGCAGCCAAAGGCACTCTTCAGCTTTCACATCCAACCCAAAGCGCTTCAACTCTTGTTGCACTGCTGCCATCGAGACGGCCGGGGGCAAAATGATCTTTCGATCTCTGTGATACGCGAGCACGTACTTAAACAGGTCTTGATCACCTTTGTCAGAGGCTTGCTTCTTTTATGATGCAGGATGTTGATGACAAAGGAGGCTCTTTGGGAAAACACATGCAATCCCAATTAATTCTATCAAAGAGTCCAACCCGATGTATAAATTTGGATTCGTTACCCGAAGGAAAAGCCGTGCTGTCCCGCTACATGCCCCTTTCATGATCAATTTTGTGGGCAAGGATGGGCAAGGCATGCATGGCGCGCTGGCAAAGTTCATGTCCCAAGCTCACAAGCTGACCTGGAGTCACTCCAGAATTTGTTTACCACGTTTTCCCGTGTTCAACTGTTGATGTTGGGAACCACTGCCTAAAGTAAACGCACATTGACACATTGAACATAGCTGTTTATTAGAACTACGTACTTCCTCCGCCAAGCAGGGCCTTCCACAAAGATCTCCTTGTCATCCTGCTTGTCTTCCGCCAACTGCGTGAGGAGCGAGTTGGGATGCAAGCTCAGGGTCGGCTCCCGCAGCACCTGGTAGATCTTGCCGCCGACGTTGAAGGTCACGAGATCCGATCCACTCGCCATGGCCCCACAACTTGTGGTTTATAAGTTGGCAATCAGAAACTTGTGCTCAGGTTGCCACTCTAGCCACATTAGCTGCGGATATCAAATCTCAAGCAAAACAGCTAGTCTTAGTCGGTTGGTGTAGGCGCGGAAACTATATAGCTGCAAGTTGGGACGCGGTCGCAGGGGCTGTAGGCGCCTGCTCTCAGGATGCTTTCAAGAGACGGGTTGGATGCTTCCAGATTTGGGGGGCATAAGCTATTGACACATAGGGGGGGGGGTTGCGGCCACCGGCTAGACACGTCCAAAGAAGCATGAATCCCAAAGAGTGAACTTAAGTGACCTCTTTGTGACCTCTTTGTGGGATGTGTATCTTCAAACAGGTGGTTTCGACCATGTTGTCCATCAAACCGTGTTTTGGACATTTCGTCCAAAACAAGTGGGACGGGAAGCCGTCGAATCCTTCGTCGTCGCTCAAAGGGGGGACAACTCCTGGCGGGTGTGGAGAACTCTACCACCAGGTTCTGGTAAGGTAGACGAGAGGTTTTTCAAGCCGCATGAAGGGTGATTCATCAAGAGCCTACATATGTCGTCCATTCACCTAAGGAAGATCCGTCACCAGCGTGTCCGGCGTCACCCGGCCGATCAGGCACCCTTTTCCTCTGTGAGGGGCGGCGAAGTGGCCAGTGTGATTAACTGCACTTAGGCCACCGGCGTCAGGCTAACCATCGTCTGTGAAGAAAGCGGCAGCGGCCCAGTCAGACCGGGAGTGCTCGCATCGCTCATTGGGTCCTTGCCATGTGACCAAAACGTTGCCTGGTATCCAATGGATGTCGCCCAAGCTGTCATGGACTCTTGGAACTGCTTGTGGTCGAAGCATTGGAAAAGACGTTGCATAGTGGTGACGTGGCATCCATTCCGGAGATCATCGAATGAAATGTTGATTGATCCGCCTTTCCCCTTTACTACCTTCTCCATCAAAGCTTGTGCAGTGATGTTCATTAAATGTGCAGCTGCAACTTGCTTCTTTTGATCCTGAAGCAACTTTTGTTGATTTGCAGCCAATTGATCAATCTGCTTTAGCATAAATGGCAAATAGGCCTCATCCAGCACCATCCTTAGCTGCAACTTGGCAGTGGAAGGCAAACTCCTCAAAACAAAACGCCCATCCTATCGTGCAAATTCTGATACTGAAGTCTCCCCTACAAAATCCGATTGCGATTTCGATACCCACGCATGCAGCGCCCCAGTTTTGTACGTAGGGGAACCAGCTACTCAAACTACTAGATCCGACTAGCATGAGCTAATCCCTGGTCGTGGTTGCGAGTCTGAAGCCCTTACTCCCGCAGTGCACACCAGAACAACTTGAAACAGCCGGGTCCGTATGATCCAAGAACATTTATGTGCCCTAGGCCATAGCAATCACCACAACACCATAGATAAATGCTGTAAAACAAGAGCCTGAGGCACTCTTCAGATTTTGCATCCAAATTAAAGCGCTTCAACTCCTGTTGCACTGCCGCCATGGAGATGGTCGGGGGCAGAATGATCTTCCGATCTCTGTGATAGGCGAGCACGTACTTGAACAGGTCTTGATCACCTCTGTCAGAGGCTTGCTTCTTTTGTGAAGCAGGATACTGATGACAAAGGAGGTTCTTTGGGGAAACGCAATCGAATCCAACGACGCTTTCTTTAGATGTTAATTTGATGAAATTTGGACTCGTTGTCCCAAGAACAAGCCGTGCTGTCCCGCTACGTGCCCGTCCGTGATCAAGTTTGTGGGCAAGGCATGCATGTGTGGTGAACTTCCCTTCTGGCGCACTCTCAAGCTCATGTCCCAAGCTATTTCACCACGTTTTCCCTTGTTCAACCGTTGATGGGCCCTCCCTGTCCAAAGTAAACGCAGATTGAACATCGCATTGATTAGAACTACGGAACTACGTATACTTCCTCCACCAAGCGGGGCCTTCCACAAAGATCTCCTTGTCATCCTGCTTGTCTTCCGCCAACTGCGTGAGGAGCGAGTTGGGATGCAAGCTCAGCGTTGGCTCCCTCAGCACCTGGTAGATCTTGCCACCGACGTTGAAGGTCACGAGATCCGAACGGCCCGCGCTGGGCTCCCCATCGGAGTCGGCACTCCGCTGGCGCTTCATGGCGGAGACGACCACGGGCGCGGTGCTCCGGTGCAGTTTTGGGTGCCCAAGCGGAGCCGCGGAGCGAGGTCAAAGGTGGCAAAACCACGGCTTTTGGTCTGAACTAGAGGGGGCCCTGACATGTCTTATTTGGTATGATGGATTCACACCATGACATCAGTTGCTGCCTCATGTTGCATGTCAAAGCGGGCCCATTTGATCATCCTCCCGTCATCTCTCATTTCATTTGCATAGCAGGGTCTTTCTCAGGAGCGGGATTTTGTCTTCAAGAGTGTATGGATGACTCCATTAACCATCATAAAACCCGTATTGAATCCCATCTAGAAGCCTTGTCACCTCTTAGTAAGTTTCGGGCCAAGCCGCAAATAGACTTGCTCGAAAAGCCTCTCATCCGCAGGTGTCTCCACATAGCTCTTTCCCTCCGCCTTCCGCATCACCTGGGCTTCCAAGCTTGTGGCAGAATCACCCGAGAGAGACTTTAACCCAACTGCGTGGGCATAAGAAGTGCAGCACAAAGCACCCCCCAACAGTAAACAGGGGAACTCGCCTCCAAGAATTAGCTCTGAGCTTCATGAAAGGGACATCCATCCTCTGAAACAACACTAGCAATACCATCAGTCAGTGAAGCCCTGATGGAAAGGCCAGTTGACCATATATACAAAATTATACAAAGGCTGGACATCCTCCATGCCCACCTCATGACAATACCCAATACATCCCAATACCATCAGTGGCCTTCAATTCACTTTTACCCAACCCAAACACTCCACCTGACTGACCATCCAACCACTGCCCACTGCCCACCGCATTGGATCGACCACGTCACTCGCCCGGCCACGGCCAAACCCAAATGCGCGCCCACGGCCAAGCCGGCAGCGGCCAGACCCCAGGTGGGCGTGGAGTCAGTGGTCTTCCTTGAAATGGACAAGTCTTTAGGACCAATCACCTAGACCAGTGGTGTGGTTTGGCACTGGCAAATCATGGGAGGGGTCCATCTTTGCCATCATCTTGTCATCTCCCACCCGGGAAGGTTCAAGGTGCTTAGGATCAATTCCATCAGGAGAATGAAGAATTTGGAGGAGAGCCAGATTCGGCTGGAAGACCATTCACCAGCTAGCACGGCAAATGAGAAAGCCAAGATTCTTACCCAGTTACATGTTTTCCTCCGCTGCCAATCAACGGTGGATCTGTTCATGCACTTCATGAACTTCTCAAAGGAAAGTTCTGCAGAGCAATTTTTGGACCAAGTTCTGCTAATTAAGGGCATTCAAGCCAAGGTTTGGAGAAATTGCTTGCACACCTCAACCCAACCCACCCACTTCAACCCAAACGGCTGGGCCTCTACATGGATGACCACTTTCCAGGCACGAGTGGCACTGGACTCCCAAAGGTGGTGGGATCGGCAGGGTTCCAAGCGAGGAGGGTCAGTCCTGCAAGTCCTGCCTGCAGGAACCTACGGGAAAAGGTCATTGTATGGTCAATGTGCGGTCTTTGGAATAATTTGCCGCACCCCGCCGCCCCAGTTGTTGCGGATCCTCGTGTGAACACTTGCAACGCCTCCGGCGTGCTGTGCGACCTCCCCCAAATGCAGAAAGCAGGAGAAACATACACTCTCTGGAATATTCATGGAACTGGACAATGATGGAACATGGATGAAAATCGTTCCAAGAGGATGACCATTTTCCGCCATCCACGTAACGATGATCATTCCAGCTAGCGTATGTTTCTCCAAGAACCTCTGCTCATCTGCTCATCCAGATCTCCCCGCATTGGTCGCGGAGGGGGTCATCCTCATGGCGTTCGGTGCCCGCTGCACCTGTCCCGGCATCAGGAAGGTGCTGCCCAAGACGGCGCAGCCGAGGAGAGCCGTGGAGAGGCGAGTCATGTTGATCTGGAGCATCTGAGCTGATCTGGGACCTAAAAAAGTCTTGAGCCCTTGGGAAAGTGGCTCCTGGCAAGCACAAGCCTGGTCAAGCCTTGGACTCAGATTCATGCATCATGCATCATCATACATCAAAGTCCTAGAAGAGAGAAGTCTTGGAGGGGGAGGGGAGGATGTATAGGAACTTGTCTTCCGATTCCATCAGCACAGCAGAGTTCTGGACTCAGGGTGATTGACATCCACTGAAGACCCTAAGGTCAATGGGAGCAGTACCCACAGTCAATCACCTGTCACCTCTGTCCCTCTGTCCGCCGGATTCTTGGAGGAGCTTGTATTTCTTGGCAAAAACATGTGGTGCACGCACCCTGTTGTTCCGAACTCAGAAGCTTTCTGAAAGCATTGTTCTCCTTGTGGCTGGATCCTGGAAATCGGAAAGCTCGATGTGTTGCCGTAGAAAAAATACTATGCTGGAATCAGCCCCTCGAGTCCCTCAAACAAGCTGTCGCATGCTATAGTATTAGTGATTCAAAATATAGTGATTTCATGTGATTTCTTCAACTTGCCACACAAACATCTCAGTGGACACCGCCAATCAGGTTTCTGCCACAAAAGCCGCACCCAAGTTGAACCCTTTTCTCACGTTCTGCGGCGCCGAGAGCCCTAAGGGTCAAGACGTCCGAGTTGTGCAACGATTTTTCTGGAGAGTTTCGAGCCAGGAGTTCAAGACTGAGAGTGCTGTTGATTCTTTATCCACATGGATCAATGGGTCAGCCGGGTCTCTCTCTCTCTCTCTGGGGAGGACTTCTTGAGCACCGAGTTGTTACACGATCAAGATCTTCGTCTCTTCAAAAAGACAGATTACACCTCACCCGACTTTCAGTCCGATCTTCTAAACCCCCTGACCATGCGGGGTTGCTGCACATTCCGTAGTTGCTACACCTTACGGACACCTTAGCTGCACATCAGCTCAAGTCATCATGTTGAACCGATTCTGCGCCGAGAAAAGAACTCGTGCACTGGACCGCGGTCCGTTTCCTGGGCGAGGACCGAACTCCCCGGTCACCCCCCCAGCCCAACTACTCAAACAAACCCTAACTGTTATCATATGGCGCAGCGCTGCTTCGAACCGATCCCAACATCTTGTCATAGTTCTTCTAACCAGCTATCGCGTCAGTAACCGTAGGATCACCCCAAACCTGTCTACTACTCTGTCTACTGTACACAGTACACACGCACTATACACGTCCCTGTTTCAGGTTCACCAAACGTGTCCTGGCATCGAAACTCCCGAGGCCTGGTCGGGGGACGCGTTTGAAACACGGAGGGAGCGTCCGAAAACCCCGGCCAGTGCGCCGCTCGACCAACGCCCGTCGGTCGGGTGCCAGCCCGTCCCGGTCAACGAAACATGTCCAGTCCTTTTGCGGCGTTCGGTGTTTTGGATCGTCCAAAGATGTGCCAAGAGTCTGCAACACCATGGGTCGAAATCAATATTGCGGCATACAACCAGTTTTTTTGTGTCAACTTCAATAAAAGGGTGTGCGAAGCTGCAACTGGCGCAGAGCACGGCCCCTTTTCCGCTTCGGGAGATGCTGCTCGGTTTCTACATGCAATGTGAAACAAGTGTGGGTACTGCTCTTCTGGTTTCTGCTGTATGCTTGTGGTTGCTTCTGTCTGTCATGACGGGCCGATCGAACGCTTGGCCAACATCTGGGGCCGCCGGTGCTTGGGCCAGTCTTGCCTGGCATTGCGGGACAGCTCACGGTCAACTGCATTCTCATCGAACTTCATGGTAACTCTCACACTGGTTATTCTTTTGTTTGACCGGAGCTGGAATGGTCGTCGTCATCTGCTTGGATCTCTGCGGCCAACTGACTTCTGCGCTGGTGGTCTGCAGGTTTGGCTGCTTTCTCAGCATGTCTCTGAACATTTCTGTTTTGCCTCTGTCTTCTCTTGGTCTCTTTGAGGATCTTATTCTCCTCGGTTTGTACCAATGACATTTGGCCACTTCGAAGAAACTCTTTCAAGGTCTCCTTCTCAGCGTTGGCTTTTGTCAAAACATTGGCAATGTTCTGCATACCATCGATCCAACGAACTAAGGCATTCGGTTGCCTAACCGTCTCCCGCAAAAGGGCGCCCTCAATGGCCATGCGCTTGTCTGTTGAAGTGCTTGTAGCATCTTTCTGCAAGTAATCATAAACAGATCTCGCGTCGGTGACATATACAGGAACCCTACGCTGGATAATGCTAGGCCAGTCCTTCAAGTTCAAATCACCTGTCAATGCTTCCTCCAACAAACACGCACACCAATCACCGCACTCAACGGCTTCTGCAAGATGCGACGCCTCTGCTGCTAGGGTCGAACGACAAACACGCTTGGTCTGACCGCTGTAAAAGGTCAAAACATTTGCACGAGCTGCTTTGTCTTCCAAGATCTCTTTGTTTGCTATCAAGATAAAATAGCCACCGACCGATCGGTAACGCATAATTTCATCCTTCTCCGGAGTGCCGTTGGCATGACCGGAATCTGCAAGCAAGATCAAAACTCCATCCCTAAGGTTCACATCCGACCAGTAACGGAGTCGGAAGTCAGCTCCCCTCTTGGCTTGGGCCAAGTACTGCTTCAAGCGCACAAGGTCGCCCACGCAAGCGTCGCCTTTGGCTCTCTGCACAACACCGTTTTCATAAACAAGGTCGCACCTGAGTTGGCGCGTCAGCCATCCAAGTTCACCTGCTCCAGATTGAACTGTTTGAAACTCCTCTTCTGTCAAACTGCTTTCAAGCTGTGTCCTACGAACCTTGCTAATGTGAATGCTCTTGGTGCTCAATGCATAATTGCGCATGCAAACATCAATGTGCCCGTCTGTATGTTGCTTGATTTCACATCCTCTGAACACAAATTCTCTGTAATGATTTGTTGCAAACTCTAGTGCTTTGCTGCTTTGTTGAAACGCCTTATCAGCAAAATCAGGATGAACTCCACCTTCAATGTCATCCACATGGGTCACTAAAATGCCCTTCAAATGCTGTTGTGGCCCGTGTCTCAAGAAAAACAAAGCCGGTTCAAGTCTGCTCTGCACCCAACCATCACTCTCAAGATGTCCTTTGAGTGCTACCCAGAAAAGACGTGCTTCCTCGCTAAAACCATAAATTGCTTTCTTCGCACGCAACAACTGTCCAGGAACGAGATTGCCAAGGCCTCCGCGAGGCTGCTCCAAGTAAATCTCACGTTCAAGTGAACGCCCGCTGAAGTATGCATTCTTCACGTCTTTGCAAATCATTGTAAAGCCCATATAGGCCGATACTGCAAGACAAATGCTTTCTGCAAGCGAACTAGCTGT